CACAATGATTCTTATTTTCAGATGATCACACAACAATGTAACCATATCTATGAATATTATTAGGGCAGTCCCTAGTAGTGATTAGTAAAAAGCCAATAGTCAACTAGCCGTAATACATTTATGATATTAATTAAATTATTTAAATATATGTTTTTTTAACAGCCGCCTGTTAAATGACAGAACAGAAAAAGACTATTAGGGGGAAGCCCTAAATATTATATTCCATTTCTGCTAATAAATCCTTCTAAACGTTACACTCTGGACCTTTTAAATGAGTTCTTTTCTTTATTTTTCAAATTTGGATACCAGACATATATTCACTACTAACAAGTATGATTTGATTAGGAAAATGCATTTGCTTGTCAGAGAGCATCCACTTGAGGTAACAAAATTACTAAAATCCAGCTCAAGGCCAGCCATGGATCAATTTTGTAATTTTTGCTTTTAAGTCAGTGCTTCAAAAAAAGTTTTCTCCCCCAAGATGGACTGGATAGCTTCTCGACATGTTGTGCAGGAGTCTGTTATACATTACACATATACTGTATATATGTACACATGTACATATATAGATATACATACACATATATTATATATATAATGGTTGTTTCATGAAACAATTTCCTTTTAATGTCTAGCTGACTTTGATGGTGTAGATTACTGTGAAATAAAACTGTGCTCTATAGTTTTATTTTATATATTGAGTGTCCCAACACATTTTATTATATCATAGAGGTTATTGAAGGAGTAAGATATTTACTAAAAGGGTTGAATGTTAGTCTTATACAAAACATTGTATGAGTTTTGCACCAAAATTCTCCTTTCCTCATATTAACTAAGCTCCATTTCACTCTTTCCTGTTCAGATGGCTACCCCAGGGAGGAGATTGTGTATAAGTGGAAAAGGAGCTCAGTTGAGGTTGGGGACATTCGCTCCTGGAGGCTCTACCAGTTCTCCTTCGTTGGCCTGAGAAACACCTCTGAGATTGTCAGGACAGTCTCAGGTAAGAAAAAATCTATCCTTTGTTCAAATAAGCCTTACTTATTCGATGAAGGCTTCCTGAATATATATGTTCTTTTCCTGTGACATCCTGGTTGTGTCACTGGATGGTCGTGTGTGTGTCAGAAGTGATTACTTCAACATGTGATGGACGCAACGGATTAGTGAGTCCATGGGTGTTGCAGGACATCACATTCATGTTAGGCATGTTATTATAAATCTGATAGTGGCAGGAGTGTGCGACAGCAACACCCTAATTTGATGATATGGTGAAGTTTCATAAACAAAAGTAGGCAGATGTAGGTTATCAGGCTGAACCATGCACATTATAACATAAAGTAAATGTCTCTTCCTGACTCTCTCAAAAGTCTGATCTGTTATCAGTCACTTCTGATCTGTAGACTGATCTGGTTTGTTGCTAGAGGTTACAACGTGAACTTTTAGAGAAATGAGGACATGACCCATTATGTGGCTGCTGCTCCAAAATCGTTCTGGGCGGATGCTTGTTAGAAAGTTTTTAATTGAAATTAAATTAATTAAAATAAAAAGAAAATCAGTTAACGTGTAACTACACCTTTCAGTTTTGCTAGCTCCCTCCCTCTCAGCAAATTTAAAAAATGCCTCAGAAACCTGCAAAGGACAGTGACTTGAGGGGTGTGGCCTAACACCGATAGGAGTGATTGACAGACTGACAACAGCAGCGTAGCAGAAACAGCGAACAAAACCTGTGTTGTAGCTGAGCTAGCGGCTCAGAGAGGCTAACTCTCCGGTATGTGAGTGTGTCTGTGGGGGGACAGTCAGTGTGTGGGATCAAGGTAAACAGTGCAGTCCGTTGGTGCTAGTAGAGGATTAGCAAAAACTAGCATAACCTCCTGTGAATGATGTGTCAGTATACATTTGAAAAATGTCAACTCTACGGTCAACTCTATCTCAGCATTGGACTTAAAACATAAAGGGTGATTTAAGCAGTAGAGGGTGTGTTGAGCCATTATTAACCCACAAAATGCAGATTGTCATAAATGTGGTCATAATGTAAATTATTTAACACCAGCATTGATGTGTTTCATCACAGTATAGTCATATAATTTAGTTTACAGCTCAAAAAACATGTTTTAGGGTGGAGTACCCCTTTAAGTGTACTTTTGTCTCACCTGACATATCTGTATCGTCTTAATGTATTAACTCCACACTGACACTACACCTAAAATGGTTAAAACAAACCTCATATTTCTTTCTATTCTATGAATAAAATAATTGCTTAATTAATACGATTAAGAAACAGTAATACACAATAATTATTAGTTATACATGTTATAATACATTTTATAAGCCTTTAAAACTACATTTCATTCCCAATTCTCTGCTATTATACCTGAGTGAACTGTCCTGCAGGGTGTGCTCTAACAAGGGTGGATTATTTTACAGAATGCAGTGCCTTATACATAACAAATAGAAGGAAATTGTGCATCATTCACACAGTATTCTTATGATGTGCTGGCAGGATTCCATTCAGAATGATGCAGGAATATGAATGTTTGCTAGAGGAAAAACAGCTGCTTTCCCTGGACAGTGTTTACATTTAAGGGGCTACAACTGTGTCTGCTTGCATATGCTTATGTTAGTTTATGTTTATATTCATGGGATGTCAGTAAGTAATGTTTGCAATGTTCTGGGAGGAAGTGTTTGTGTTCTTTATGCTTGTCTGTGGTGTGAATGAAAGGAAGCCTGTCACAGAGATTAAGTTTGGCCAACGCAGAGTTTATTCTCATCAGATCAGCTGCATTATCCAGAGAAACTGACTAAAATAGGGGTCTAGTATATATGTAAAAGTAAAATATCCTCCTCATGAATCCTACTGTTAAATTACTTTTAACTCAGAAATAAGTCATTGCAGCAGTCATTTGCCTAAACTTGCAACTTAAGTAATGATTAAACGAAGGAAAGCTGTCTGTATGTTTCCCAATTACTGCAACACCAACATGAAGGTTGCAATCTTTTTTTTTTTAGCTTCAATTCAATCTCCTTTTTATGGAATATTCAATTAATTGTAGTCTATCTGCTATGTAAGTATTGATCGGGAGAATGGGTGTTTTCTGGCTGTACTCCATCTGTTTAGAATATACTGTTGGCTGGAGTGCTGTTGGAAGTAAAGTCATTGCATCAGACGTGTGGCAGGAGGGTCATTATTCTTGCTATCATTTACAGCTCAGTATGTCATTTAATATACTGCTTGCCCTTCACAATAAAAGACCAAGCTGTCTTGGGAGAAGCACATACTGTTGCAAGTTAAATCTGCAAGTATGAAAGGGAAATAACTTTATATAGTTTTGGTTACTTCTTCAAACTGTTTAGGGTGTTTTATATGTTTTGAAGACAGTTTGTGTGTATGTGAAGGTTCAGCTAACTTTAAATGTGGATATATGGCCAGCTGGTAGCTGTGGAACTGATGAACAATTCTCTGATAAACAATTAACTTGGAGGTAATATTGTGTTTTGAGTGTAATAGCTGGTATCTCTGTTGGGTAACCCAGCGCACTATAATAGTGATAAACAAAACTGAGAAAAAAACCATGAACCCTCAGCTTTTACAAATGTACATATAATTTTGCTGTAGTACATTAAAACTAATGCACTGGCCTCTGCAATTTACTTTATTATTTTAAATATTTCAATACAAATAATCCTGTCAAAAACACAGAATCAGAGGCTCACTTCTCAGCGGCGACCAACAAACCAAGCTCTATCAGAAATACACAGATTGTACGCACGCTTGTATGCGCTTGTATGCGCTCTAACGTAGCCATGGGAGTAACTGAATTCACCCAGTCGTTCTGTAATTCGCCACAGTTCAACAGTTCAGAGTGTCACTGCAACGCAGCACACCCAGACACACAGAGAGGCAGAGAGGGGGTTTTGGTGTCTACGGTACATGTGAGTTCGCAGGGCCGAATGCTCGAAGTGCGGTGGTGCCGGTTGATATAAAAAAAATAAAACCTTGTACATTCTCATTCTGTTTTAATCAAAACATTTTTCAAGTGATAACATGAAATGGCAATCTGCGTAGGAGGATGAGCTGTTGTGGAGAATTTGCAGTGTCCTCTGACTCGCTCTCTCTCTCTGATCTGGTTTGTTATTTCCACAAACGGCCATCTGGTCTCTTGTCAGAGCAGAGAACCTTGACTGTGGCTGAGAGACCTCGTGTCTCATTTTGCAGTCAGTTTGGGTATCTGACCTGCTTCAAGATTCATGAACACAACATCTGTCTCAAAAAGCAGCCAGTTAGGGCCTTATAATTACCCAGTCATCTCAAGTACTTGCCATGCAGCGGGTAGTGCTCCTGAAAGGTGTGCTTGAAATGTAGAAATATTCCTTAATATGCTCTATCACTGTCAGCTCCTTTTGTGCATTCTAAGTGTAGACAAACATTCTAATAATAAACAGTTGTACTACTGACTTAGATGTTTTACTTCTTTGATCACCGACATAATAAATTCACTTTAATGACAGTAACATTCAGCTAACGTTGCTTTCAAGCTACATTCTTATTGACAAAAATGCATTTAATTTTTTTGAAGCAAATTCACAAAAAATCTAATTCAGTAAAATTGAAGAAACAACAACATTTGGCTTTTACATACTTCACGATTTTGTCCAATCAAATAGTCAAATATGCATTCATATGTATAGAAACATATTAAAAATGACGAGAACGAAAGACATACAAACAGTATAATAATTGTTCCTGACCTAGAGTGTGAGTGAGAGGGCCTGTGGACCATGGAGTACTGAGTAGGGAGACTGTCCTTTGCCTAGACGACCCAGGGCTCAAGCTCTCATTTTAGCATCTATTTTAGCATCCAAAAGCAAGATACTGAGTCCCTGCCAGCTAAAGGGTTCTAAGTCTTTGTCCTGCCCTTAAGGTTGTAGTTAGCTACAGTTACTCTTTAAAAAAATAAAAACCTTTTTATAGCATTTCGGTTCAAGCCCTCTGCTGCATCACCATCAGCTAAACTGAGTTGAAACGGGTCAGATGAGGCAACAGAGGGACATATAATGGTAAGCTAAGCAGACAGGCAGGCAGGTGAATTGGCCTGATCCAGACAATGATGACTGTAGCAAACAGTCAGAGGAAGAGATTCCCTCTCATTCTATGAGACAAGCCAACCTCTCCCAGGCTCAACTTGTCACACCACTACTCTCCCACATTAATGTGGAGTGGGTTTTATTATTTTTTAATAAAAAAAAGATGATAAAAAAAGTGATGCATGATTGAAGAACGATTAAGTGATATTGTAATTAAAAGGTGGCCGGGGCGGTGACCTGCCATCTGCTGCTCTGATGCAGTTGTGATGTAGCTTTTATTTACAAAGGCTATGTCTGTTTTATTTGGTTTCTCTTCCCTCCCTCCGCCAGTGTCCAAAGGCTTGGTCTCTTAACATGTCGCTTCACATCAGGGCGGCCTGTACTGCCTGGAAGCCTATACCTGCATTTACAAACACAGACGCACACACTCACATATTTGCCTAGCGAATAGAAAAATAATAATAATTTAAAAAAACAAGCAAGGCCCCTTGAAAGGACATCATTGGACATAATAGAGAGGAGATAAAAGAGATACAGGGGATTTGAATGTAGGACAGCTAAGGCACTATGTACACAGCTAACATTGCTGTTAACCTCAAAGTTAACCCCTCAATGGTTGGGTCAAGCTTGATGCTGGGAGCTGTGTTCTCACCTATCTGCCTGACTGGAGTTCAGGGTTGAACATCAGAGTGCAGACAAGGACAAAGAGAAAAGAATGAGAAAGCAGGTAAATGATAGAGAAGAGTGAAGAGGATGAAAATGGAAAAAGGGGTGGTAGTTGTGGCATTTTATTGGTCCTGCAACAGTGTCCATGTTGGCAGTTTACAGAGGCAAAGTGCATGGATGAGCGGATGTATGGATTTACTGTATCTGAGGCTATATTTTGTAGATTATGTCATGGTAAGAATTAAGGCTGGGCGA